AAAAAAAAAAAAGACATGGAGAGCAAACTGGCATCACAGGAACGGAGATGGCTCCAACCATTTCCTTTAGGGGCAAGCCTTCAAGGCCATTCCTAACAGGGGTGACAGGCAGACACTTACTCCAATAGCTCTTCAAGAGGGGTTAACAGTCCCTGCAAGTAAACTCCTATAGGCACCCATGTAAACAATAAAAAGCCTGGTTCCCTACACCCTGATTTAGAGACTCAGGCCAAACCCAACCTCAAGAGAAGCTCACCTGAATAGAACCATCACTTTTTACCAGACTCTTAGAGATCTGGGAAGGTGAAAGAAGTTACATTCCACTAATTCCCGAGTGCTCAGAGTATGTGTGGTTTGTGGACCAATCACAAGAGCTAGATAGAAATGCAGAATCTTAGGCCTTACCCTACACCCTACAGAATCAGAAGCTGCATTTACATGAGGACCCCAGGTAATCCCCACGCACACTGAGTCTGAGAAACAGTCTTGACTGGGGCAGATGGTCCTCGGAATGTGACCATTCTCTTTAGCTCAAGCTTTTCTGTACTGGCCGAGGTGGTCAAGTGGGCTTTGGAGAATAGATTCCACACCTTGGCCAAGCCAGGCAGACCAGCGTCATCGATTCTGGCAGAAGCAAGCCAGGTTTCTCCGGGTCACAGACTGTGTGCTGTGCCTGTCCCACTTAATAACTCCAGACAAGGAAGAGCTGGCTTTATGCTTTTGGCACTGCTAGTTCTCTTCCAGCTGATCTCAAAAACATATGTTATCTTTTGAACCAGAAGCTCCTTCTCCTATAAAAGATCTTCAAAAGAGAGCGAGATTTGCTGTGGTCTGCCTTCCCTGCGCCACTTTCCAGTCCAAAGTAAGAAGTGGATCAAAATTTCCTATAAGCAGTACCCTGACTACTGTTTCCAATCTGATCCATTCTATCTAGCAACGAAGGGTGCAGAAGAGGGGCGCCCGCACCTCCAGGCTGGCCTCAGTGCCCACCCCAAACCAATCAAGCAGACATTCACACCTGCACTGGACAGAACTCCCAAATGGTCAGCAGAGGCAGATACACTGGGGCAGAGACAAAGGAGGACCCCGTGGGCTACCACAAGGCCGGCACGCGTAGGGAAGCTGAAGCAAGGATGACAACCAGAGCCCTGCGAACGCTTCCTGGGATCCTTCTCCCTTCTCTGCGTGGTTGCTATTTCCCTTTCAATCTGGGGAAACCGTGTGACATGGCAAAACAGACAGGTGTCGAAGCTTTTGGGGCCGCGATCTGCATAGTAAAGCGGCATGGTGGGACAACATCCGAGCCCGCTGACAGCTTTAACACTGTGTGCTTTGGAGGACCTCGGAACTGGCTGTGCTCGCCCGCGGTGGGACAGTTGCCTGAGAAAATAAGCACGTGGCCCCAGCCGCTGGGTAGGAGACGCGACTGCCGCCCCGTACCCGCGCGTCTCTAAGCCAAGGTTTGGGATCTGTCGCCTTTTTGAGTAGTAGTTTGGGAAGCAGAATGGGGAAAGATGTAGCGCAGGGGAGAGGGACAAAAAGGGTGGGGGCAGTGCGAGGATGGGAGGGAAGTGGTGAGCCACCAGGATTTCATCATGCAAACAGGCGCACAGGTTTCATCAGCGCCTGGGAGGGAATGCCTGGCTCCCGATGCAGCCCGAGGCCGGCCCGCACCCGTGCCAGCTCAGCTTCCTCTTCCTCATCCTCTCCCAAGGAGGTCACACGGCACCTTCCCCCACCTCCGACAGAAGGACGTGTCTTTCTGCACAGCCACGGCCCAGGAGCCAGGCACCTCCGCGGAGGTCCCCACTCGCGGAAATAGGGAATATGCCACAGGTGCCGAAGGGCGCCATGACCCCAGACGGGCACCCTCAGCCCCAAGCCTCCGGGTGCTAGAATCCCGTGTTCAATGCAAAACAGGGGGTGCCTCGGCAGCAAAAAGGGCTCTGCAAGAGTTATTTATTCCAACAGAGAACGCCCATCCCACCCCATAAAAACTCCAGGTCAGGCCTGGCCTTGACGCGTGGGCCCCCTTTGCTTCAGAAGAGCCCCCAACACCCACAAGGGGCGGCGCGCCTCGGCATGTGGCAGCGCTGGGAGAGTGCGTGTCTATCTGGGTGTCAGCTGCTTCTCCGTGAAGGAAGAAACCAACGGGGCAGTTAGCGCGGCTCGGGCTCTGGACGTCGCACCCAGAGGGCAGGCAGGCGGCCACCTCCTCACTCTCTCCCTCACGCCCCTTCTCCGTTCCTTCCCGTTCACGGCGCCCTCGACCGTGATCCCGGACCCCTCCCGCGCGCGGCGCCCCGGACCCGCGCCTACCTCCCGGGGTGGTGCTGAAGAGCGTGCCGCCCGGGGTGGTGCTGTAGTCCCCGGGCGGGAGCTGCGCGCCGTCGCCGAGGATCACCCGGCGAGTGGTGGGGATGGCCCGGCTTGGGGTCTGGCTGCAGCTGCTGCCCCCGGACATGGTCTCCTGCACGGCGCCCCCGCAACCCTCTGGCGGCCCTCCCGCGCCTCCGGCCTCGCCCCGCCTCGCCCCCGCCGCCCCGCCGAGGCCGCCCCTTCCGCCTCTTCCGCTCCACGCCCCTGGGATTTGTAGTCCGCGCCCGCGCCGCCCCACCCCGCTTCGGGCAGCAGAGCGCTGGGCTCCCCGCGGCCCGGGGACCGAGTCCCGCCCGCGCGCCGTCTCGCAGGGTCTGCCCCTCTCGCTCCCGGTCCCTCCCCGCCACGCTGGCAGGATCGGGCGCGGGTGGCGGGCTGGGGAGAGCGCCTTGCATCGGGCGCGGGGGTCCTCGCTGACACGGCCCACTGCGTTCGGACATCTGGCCAGAGGTGCCCGTCAGCCCAGCCTGGGCCGTGTCTCTCTTCCTCTGTAGGAAAGTGGCGCTTGACTGGTCATTCCACCCCTTGCGTTCCCTGAGCATGTACCCTATGGCCTGGGTTGAAGAAATGGTGAATAATGCACGTTCCCGACCTTGGGAGGAGGTTGCGGGAGAAGGAGCGAACAAGCCACCCAGCTCAGGGCGAAACCGAGCACCGAGGTGGAGGCTGGGGTGGGAAGGAGAGCTAAGAGTCGGTCGAAGAAGTTTCCGCCATTACCCTGGGTTGGGACCCACGCAGGGCGCACCCCTGAGGTTTAGTGGGCATTCGTGGGTGGATGGACGGGTGGGTGGGTGGATGGTCAAGAAGATCCCTAAGTGGAGAGAGAAAAATGCAAAGAAGGCGGAAAAGCCTGTTGGGTTTGAGAAGTTTGTGAACTTGTGGCCACATCTTTTAGGGAGGAGGGTGGAGGAAGGGAGAGACCTCTTTAAAAGGCAGGTGGGGTCAAGTTGTTGAGGGGTTCTTCACATCATGCCAAGTCTTCAGACTTTGTCCTACAAGGACAGGAGCTATCAGCAATCTTCTCAGCAGGGAAATGATATGGTTAGAGTTGTTTTTTTGGAAAGGTAACTAGTGGCTATGGAGCTTAGGGAGGGGCGGGAGGAGAGCAGGACCTGGTTTAGGGAGACACGCTGGGTTTGGCCTCACGCCGAGATGAACTTCAGGGCCTATGTGGCCAGCCCCGTATCTGCCTCGAAATGTGCTAGTCCAGACTGAGGTGTGAGCCGCAGGCCAGATTCCCAAGGCTTAGAATGAAAAAAATTGTGTAAAAACTCAGTCATTTTTATATTGATTACACATTGAAGTCATAATATTTTGAGTATATTGAGAAAAATAGATTACAAAAGTTAACTTCACCTGCTTCTTTTTACTTTTTTGATAGGACTAGGAAAAAAAATTTTTTTTTGAGACAGAGTCTTATGTCGCCCTCAGTAAAGTGCCGAGTCACAGCTCACAGCAACATCCAACTCTTAGGCTTAAGCAATTCTCTTGCCTCAGCCTCACAGGTAGCTGGGACTACAGGTGCCTGCCACAATGCTGCCTATTTTTTGGTTGTAGTTGTCATTGTTGTTTGGAAGGCCCGGGCTGGGCTCGAACCCACCCTCCAGTGTGTGTGTGGCTGGCGCCCTAGCTGCTGAGCTACAGGTGCCGAGCTTGAAAAATTGTTTTTTATGTATGTGGCTTGCACTACATTTCTATTGGATATGGGTGCTTCAGAATGAGGTTGTGTGATGGCCACCCTCAAGTTCTCAGAACCATTCTCCCCACTGTCTGAATTATCGTGGCTGGTTTCCCAGAAAACTATGGAATCATCATACCTTAGCTGGGGCAGGTCAGCATAAGTCACCCAAGCACAATATTCACCCCCCCCCCATCCTATTCTAAAAAATGAAACAAAGCTGAGGCCGGCATGATAGCTGGCAACTGTAATCCTAGCACTCTGGGAGTCTAAGGCAAGTGGATGCCTTGAGCTCAAGAGTTAGAGACCAGTCTGAGCAACAGTGCTCTACTAAAAATAAAGAAAGCTAGCCTGTTGTGGTGGTGCATGCCTGTAATCCCAGCTACTAGGGAGACTGAGGCAAGAGGACAGCTTGAATCCAAGAGTTTTTGAGGTTGCTGTGAGCTACGATGATTCCACACACTGCACTCAACCCAGAGTGACAGAGAGACTCTGTCTCAAAAAACTAAACAGGGCAGAAAACTGAAGCCTGGAGAGGAACAGGGGTTTGTCCATGATCCCACAGCTATTCAGTACCTGAGGCAGGACTAGAACCCAGCCTCCCCTCCTTCCCTGGCCTGTCCTTTACTCACTACAGTTGGGGATAAAGTGATCCACATGCCTCCCTTGGGGAAGAACTGTTTATTATTATTTTTATTTATTTATTTTTGAGGCAGAGTTTCACTTTGTTACCCTTGGTAGAGTGTCGTGGTGTCATAGCTCACAGCAACCTCAAACTCTTGGGCTCAAGTGATTCTCTTGCCTCAGCCTCTCAAGTAGCTATGACTACAGGTGCCCTCCACAGCTCCTGGCTATTTTTAGAGACAGGATCTTTTTTTTTTTTTTTGGAGACAGAGCCTCAAGCTGTCCCCCCTGGGTAGAGTGCTGTGGCATCACAGCTCACAGCAACCTCCAAACCCTAGGCTCAAGCGAGTCTCTTGCCTCAGCCTCCCAAGTAGCTGGGACCACAGGGACCACAGGTGCCTGCCACAATGCTGGGCTATCTTTTGGTTGCAGCCGTCATTGTTGTTTGGTGGGCCCGGGCTGGATTCGAACCTGCCACCTTAGGCATATGTGGCTGGCGCCTTAGCCACTTGAGCCACAGGTGCTGAGCCTAGAGATAGGGTCTTGCTCTTGCTCAGGTTGGTCTCGAACCTGTGAGCTCAGGCAATTCACCTGCCTTGGCCTTCCAGAGTGCTGGGATTACAGGCATGAGCCACTCGCCTGGCCTGGAAGAACTGTTTAAAAAGGGGTCTTGGCTGGGTGCCTGTAGCACAGTGGTTATGGTGCCAGCCACATACACTGAGACCGACAGGTTCAAACCCAGCCTGGGCCAGCTAAACAAAAGTGACTATTGCAGGCTCGGCGCCTGTGGCTCAACCGGCTAAGGCGCCAGCCACGTACACCTAAGGTGGCGGGTTCGAATCCCCAGCCCGGACCCGCCAAACAACAGTGACGGCTGCAACCAAAAAATAGCCGGGCGTTGTGGCGGGCGCCTGTGGTCCCAGCTACTTGGGAGGCGGAGGCAGGAGACTCGCTTGAGCCCAGGAGTTGGAGGTTGCTGTGAGCTGTGATGTCACGGCACTCTACCCAGGGGGACAGCTTGAGGCTCTGTCTCAAAAAAAAAAAAAAAAAAAAAAACAAAAGTGACTATTGCAACAAAAAATAGCTGGGCGTTGTGGTAGGCGCCTGTAGTTCCAGCTACTTGGGAGGCTGAGGCAAGAGAATCTCTTAAGCCCAAGAATTTGAGGTTGCTGTGAGCTGTGATGTCACAGAACTCTACCAAGGGCAACATAGTGAGACTGTCTCCAAATAAATAAATAATAAATAGGGGTCTTGCCGTAGCCTTATTAGATGTGCATCGTTAGTTAGATGTAAGGCCTGGAGGCCACAGGGCCTGAGATGCTAGAGAATGGGTCATGTGGAAGGCTCACCACTCAGCGAGGACCATACTGAGGAGGGTGGTCTGGGTGCTGCAGACTGACTAGACTTGGGGACCCCCTGCTGCAACCTGGCTTCCTACCTCCTGAAGCCCCACAGACCTTCACACAATGATAGCTGCTCTCAAGGATGGGGCTGGGCAGAGGGGCTACAAGAAGAAGGTGTGGGTCTGGTTGGAGCCTACGGGGCCCCAGTGCTGCTGCTAAGTAGCTACTGAGTCTCAGACAGATCCCTTTGCCTTTCTGGGCCTCAATCTCTTCATCTGTCAGATACGGGGGTGGACTGAAAGATCTCTGAAGACCCTCAGCATTGGCATTTTATGTCTTTGACAACCCCCCTGCTGAACTCTACTTCCTGCCAGCCACTCCACCTGTGGGGGTTTCTACCTCTTTTTTTTTTTTTAATTTCTACTTCTTTCTAGAGAGAGTCATTCATGTTAAATCGTATAATCAAGTATAAAGGGATGTAGGAAAAAAATAAAGTGCTGTCACTCACACAGGCACACTTCTAACACCAAATGGGTGGGTTTCTGCCCCACATACCAACAGAGCACTTCTGCTGCAATAGCTCCTCCCAGGTCACAGGCTGGGTGTCCTCTAATTTGATTCAGTGTTGACACTATCTTCATGGAGACAGCAGCAGATCCCACATGGTAAGGGCTCAGACCCACAAGACTGCACCCCATTCCAGATGCCCAGGTGGCCTGACCTGACTGACCTGACCCCAGCTATAAGTTGGGGTTCCCATGACCCCTCCTTACATTTAATTAACTTGCCAGAGAAGCTCATGGAACTCAAGGAAACAATTTTACTGGCTCGGCGTCTGTGGCTCAAGCGGCTAAGGCCACAAACACCTGAGCTGGTGGGTTCAAATCCAGCCACATACACCTGAGCTGGTGGGTTTGAATCCAGCCTGGGCCCGCCAAACAACAACGACGGCTACAACCAAAAAATAACCGGGCGTTTGGCGGGCACCTGTGGTCCCAGCTACTTGGGAGGCTGAGGCAGAAGAATTGTTTGAACCCAGGAGTGGGAGGTTGCTGTGAGCTGTGATGCCACAGCACTCTACCCAGGGCAACAGCTTGAGGCTCTGTCTCAAAAAAACAAACAACCCCCCCCCCAAAACAATTTTACTTACATTTTCCAGTTTCCTCATAAAGGACATTACAAAGGACACAGGTGAACAGCCACATGCAAGAGATGCTCAGGGCTGAGGAGCTGGACGCCACCACCAGGAGCTCGGGCCTCCCCCACCCCCAACTCTGTCCTTTAGGTTTTTTTTTTTTTTTTTTTGAGACGGAGCCTCAAGCTATCCCCCTGGGCAGAGTGCTGTGGCATCACAGCTCATAGCAACCTCCAACTCCTGGGCTCAAGCGAGTCCCCTGCCTCAGCCTCCCAAGTAGCTGAGACCACAGGCGCCCACCACAACGCCCGGCCATTTTTTGGTTGCAGCCATCATTGTTGTTTGGCGGGCCCGGGCTGGGAATTCGAACCC